GCTTCGGAGAGGCATTGATATCTTTCGTTTTCGCTCTAGTTCTTAGCGCAGTTTACTTCTGGTTGATATTCTAGCATTGGCGAAAGTAATGAATTCGTCTATAGACGGTTCAGTTTAAGCTGACTCGGGCACTGTCGGCTGTAGCTACAATCGTGTAGCTTAAAACAGGGACGTTATGGTATGGGAACAAAAAAACTCGAGGGCCCGCTCTCGAGATACATAGAGAGTGAGGAGGGAGAAGAAACTTTGCCCTCTGGTAGAGGGTTTCGTTTAGGTGGTTTAGGCGGAGGCGCGCCAGCCCAGGAGCGCGGGAAGTCGGTGGTTCGAGTCCCCGTCGATCTGAAATTTTTCTCAGGCCGACAAATTTCTAATGAACTTGAAGCCGCTCATTTCACCACGCCCCTCATGTGGAGTTCCGACGGCGCAGTGATTTCCGTCCTGGTTAAACTGCGTCGGAAGGTGGCATATGATTCGGCTCTATGGGCCGGGGTTCGACTCACGGCGAATGCGGGCATTGGGAGTTCCCTGGTGCGTGGGCCTGGCACCTCTGCTGTGGTGGCGGATGCACTTATAAGACCTGTGAATCTGGGTTTAAAGGAACTCCATGACTTGTGGTGGGTCGGTACAATTTAACCAACGAACGACGTCATCTGTCTCACAAACCCCGGTATGTTCTGACCACGCGCCCTGCCCGTCCTGAGTTCTGAGCTTGATCCTGCATGACGGGAGACAAGAAGCGACAAAAAAAGTTTGCTGTGCCCGGGAGTTGATCTCAGGGCCGACAGTTTTGATTCGGATGAAGCTGCAACAGTTTAGCTACAAAAGGGGCGTGTGGCTGTGGGCGTCGGATATCACTCATTGCCCCCAAAAGAATCTTATATAGTCGGGTCGGATTTAAGATGAGGGGTTGGCAAGATAGCGCTAGCGCGGATGCATGTGGATCCGAAGCTGCTGAACTTACGTACGCTCGCTCTGGGAGGGCTTTAAACGGTCGCAACTTTGTTTATACATACATATTTTGAACAAGAAGAGTCCAAGGAACATTATTCTTTGTACATAAATAGTCGAGGGGTGCCCAACTTGAAAAAATCGTGTACACCTGATTATCAAAAAGTGATGATTACCACGGATTACCAGAGACTACCGAAGATTACTGAAGATTACTGAAGATTACCAAGGGTTTCCGAAGATTACCACTGACAAAAGATTACCAGAGATTACGAAAGATTGCCATTGATTAACACAGATTCCCATTGATTACCACAGATTACCAGTGATTACCAAAGATTACCAGTGATTACCAAAGATTACCGGTGATTACCAAAGATTTTTAGGAATTTCCTTGCTGGATTACTTAGTGATTACCAAAGATTACCTTGTGATTACCAACGATTACCTGGTGATTACCAACGATTACCTAGTGATTACCAACGATTACCTAGTGATTACCATGGATTACCTAGTGATTACCATGGATTACCGGTGATTACCAAGGATTACCGGTGATTACCAAGGATTACTGATTACCAACGATTACCTAGTGATTACCATGGATTACCTAGTGATTACCATGGATTACCGGTGATTACCAAGGATTACCGGTGATTACCAAGGATTACTGGTGATTACCAAGGATTACCGGCGATTACCAATGATTACCGGCGATTACCAATGATTACCGGTGATTACCAGGGATTACCTACTCTGTGTACACCTGATTACCTTAGTTGGGCACCCTTAATAGTGGCATATTGCAGCCGTATTATAAATTGTAGAGGTTTTTAGACACTTGCGGATGCGTGCAAAATTAGCTTAAATGTGCTACTATTTGTACAGAACTGTTTCATGGCCTCTCCTCATTCAAAAGTATGTACAAAAAAGTTACAACTGTTTTTTAGATCTCCCAGAGCGAGCGTGCGCAAGTTCCGAAGCGTCCGTACGGATCCGCGTTGACTTATTGACAAACCCTGATTCTGGCCGGCGGGTTTGTGGCCACAAACAGGGACCTCAGCCATGTACTGCACGCCGCGCCGGACACAGCTGCATCCATCCCCAAACTCACATGGCGAGCGCTCCGATGGGGTGGGAGTCAGGAGTGGGCCACCGGGGTGTGTGAGTCCCTCCGTGCCGTCTCCTATTGTGCCCGCGCCGGCCCCGCGCGCCCCCGGGCGCCGCCCTGCGGAGCCTAGCGGGGCCCCGGCCCCCAGGGCAGCAGGGCCTCGGCCTCGGCCACGGCCCAACCCCCACAACGACATGCGTGCTCGCGATGGACGGGCACGCGGTCCGGGTCGTGCGCGCGCCGGCCGCCCCGCCGTCAGCCGACGCCCCCGCCGCGCCTCACCGCCACGCCCGCGCCCCGGTCGCGTCCACCTCACGTGACGGCCCCGCGGCCCTGCCCGCCGGCGCCCGCGGCGTGGACCCGCGCCTGCTGGAGGCGAGGTACGAGTACCCGTTCCCGGACGACGCCGGCCTGCCGTGCTGCGCGCCGCCCCCGCGCGTCGTCAAGGTAAGGCCGAGCTCCGCTCCGGAACCCGCGGCTCCATAGCGCCCGCGCTAATCGCGGCATACTCCTCGTGCTCCCCCAGGACCGCGGTGCCTCGGCCGTCCTCGCCCTCGACGAGTACGAGGACAGGGACCCCGGCCGGATCAACCAGCACCTGCAGCTGCTGTGGGAGGACGTCGTGGCCGAGCCCGACGGCGTCCGCTCTCCCGACGTCACCTGGCGCGGCTCGGCGCGGCTGTTCCGCCTCAGCCGCGACCTGGTGTACGCCTTCCTGTCCTGCTTCCTCGGCCCGCCCATCGCCGTCGTACTCGGCGGCGGCTTTGCCGTCATCGCCTTCGCCGTAGGTGTCGTCGCCATCGTCGCCCTGCTGCCATGTGTACGGCCAGCACTACGACTTGTATCTCCTCTCGACAGTACATCTGGTGCGTGGCCCCCGTGCTGCGGGCGTGCCGGGTGACCCTGGGCGCGCTCAACGCGCTGGTGCGGGCCGTCACCCACGCCACCCTGGCACCCGTCACCGAGGCCCTCGGCTACGTGCTCGCCAACATCCGCGTCCGAGTGCAGACCGCGGAGGCGGGCCGGCGCGCGCCGTCGGCCACCTCGCAGCCTCTCCTCGGTGCGTAGGGGGGCGTCGTCATCACGCCGACCTCCCGCGACCCGGAGGTCGCCGCGGGGGCATCGCGGGCCTCCTCACAGGTAAACACTTGCGCGCGGCCCGGGCCCAGCCTCCACAGGGCTCCGGGATGTAGCCGGTCACTGCACACAGGTCTGACCGGGTCCTGGCATGCACGGGCAGACGAGTTGAGGGAGGAGGAGGGGGGACTGCCTCGGTGGGCGTATCTGGTGCGGGGGTCCCTGGGAGTTACGTCGATCCACCGCGAGGCACAGCCTCTTCCTGCGCCCAGCTGGGCCGGTAGGCCTGGCCGGGTCGGGCCGTACGTTCGATTCGGGACGAGTCGGAGCCGGGACGGGGAGACGTGTACGAAAGTAGCCCCGCTCCGGTCGGACCACGGGTGCTGGGCCACAACGCGCCCGGGACTCGCCTGCCTCTCCCGGTCCGACGGCTAAGCTGGCTCAGCCAGCCGGACACGCTTCCGAGAGGTTGGCAGGGGTGCTTCAATCAAGCCAAGCACGCGGCGACGAAATGCGACAAAGTCCTTTCTCTCTGCCTTGGAGGAAAAGGGGGCTCGTATTCGAACGGCAGGTCGTTTGGCAGTCGTTGCGCTTTACTCGCGGCTCTGCGGGGTCTCTAGATTAGCACTACTTAGTATCCTTCCATCACACGCAGCTCACACGAGCTCACACAATCAGTAATCAGCGTCTGTCAAAAGGGAAACATTTAGGGACTTCCCTTAGCCTTGATGACCGTCTTGCCTTCGCCCAGAGAAAAAAAAAATGAGTCGATATCGAATCTATAACAATCTCGTGCGATTTTCCTTCTTTAGATTAGCACTACTTTGTATCCTTCTATCACTCGCAGCTCACACGAGCTCACACAATCATCAGGGTATGCCAAAAAGGAAACATCCCGGGACTTCCAATACGCCAGTATGAAGAAATTTGTTCAAAAACTGTTGCATTATAAACTGCGTAAGCTGAGCATGTTCACAGAACTCAGTAAGCTACGAATGAAAAAATTCCCAAGATTTTGGTGTGTAAAGTTGAACTACTGTTATTGGTTGAAACTTCCATAGGGGGCTGCAGCACTGCATCGTTTGCCTACCATGTATGTGTACTGGGATCTGTTCTAAGGTCTCCTCACAATGAACGTTTCACGAGGTGACGCTAATGATAGCGCCTACCACGAGATGGGTAGGCCAACCCGCCGAGCAGGGGTGCGAAGACGAGTACACGCAGCGGCGTGTGGCCGGATGACAGGTGTTTACAAATTCTGTCTCACACCCGCAGGTGTGTGAATCTTTTCACTCACCTGCAGGTGTACGACATTCGTACACTCTGATATTGCCAGTGCGCGCGGCATCGTTTCGACAACGTTTCATTAAATAATGGCATTTCTTTTGCCGGGAGCCGCTGCTGGGGCCGCCCAGCCCGAGAGCGGCCTCATCCAGGCTCATCCCATTCATATTTCATTCCCCTCGTCGAAAGATATAGAAAGTGTCTGCGTCGAAATATTATTTCTTTTTGATAAATGCCGATGATTGGAATTACTAAATGACAAGGATGGCTCGCGGCGGCGGCGCTGTTGCGGCTCAGTGGTGCCGGGGCTGTCAGAGAGACTGGTGCAGCGGCGGCAGCGCGGCAGCAGCACTGGCGCCTCAGAATGCCCTCGCGGCCGCGGCGGCTGCAGGTGTAGCGGCTGCAG